TATTAATGTTAAGCAGATCCACAGTTTAGTTAGAGAATCTGTTGGTAGCGCAAATACTAGCTGTCCACTATAGACATGGCCTTTACAGATTGGTGGCATGATTGCTACATTTTTAAAGAGCATCATAGGAAGTCCTGTTTCCAATGTTGGGGGCCAGGAAACATGAAAAAGAAGGAGCTCTGATGAGGGCAAAATTGAACTTAAAAATTCCTTGTGTGGAAAACATGACCATAAGCTCCCTCCTCATGATGAAACACGGTGGTGGCAAAATCATACTGTGGGATTGCTTGTCTTAATAGGGTACAGGCTGGAGTTAATAGCATGACTGTTGGAAATACGTACAGAAAGAAATCTTAGCATAAAACCTTTTAGAGTTTCACCCACAACATGAGCCAAGAGCTAACCTGGAATGGTCAAAGCATATTCATGTGTCAGAAAGGCCTAGTCAAAGACCAGACCGGAATCCAGTTGAGAATCTGAGGCAAAATGTGCAAATTGATGTTTACAAGATAATGCCTTGGTCTTACTCAGTCACTAAACTTTCCAATGAAACACATTGAAGTGTATTGGTGAGACAGGATGGAAAAGTTCAAAAGGCAGAGATGCTATTCCAAGTCTCAAACAACATGCATCTATTGATTTTCAGAAGGAGGAAATGTTCAAATGTGGTCGTCGAATTCAAACCCCAAATCCCGCAGAGGGATCCTCAGGAGGGCTGTTTTCTCCGAAGAGCAAAGAAAGGAACTGGAGAGAACCTTTCGGAGGCAAAAGTACATCAGCAAAATGGACAGGAACAAACTGGCAGCTGATCTTAGCCTGAAGGAATCACAGGTAACAGAGTTGATGTAATCTGAGTTTTTCACTCTACAATCCCAAGAAAAACAAGAGTTAAAGGAGAATTTGACGCAAAACCTTATCTTCTTCCAGGTTGGGGTTACTTAATTAATAACCCCACCGTGAGGCAAACTGAAACGTTTCTCCGCTTTCTTGCTCCCTCAGGTGAAGATCTGGTTCCAGAACCGTCGTATGAAATGGAGAAACCACAAGGAGAAAGAGGTTCATAGCATCCGCTCCCCGATGGATGAGCTATTGGCCAGAGGCCGTCCACCTCAAGACGAAGTCCAAACGTCCCACAATCACGCGGACAAGAAAACAGACAGCTCAGCGCCACAGAAGAGCGCCAGAGACACATGAATGAGCTGATGCTGAGCAAGTGACTTGATCATGACTACAAAATTCTCTGCAAAGACTCTAATGCTGGCGGTACACACAAAGTTGTACAGGCTAACACTGAAAATGCATCTAAAGGTCAAATGAGCTTTGTATACAATTACATAAAATTGTGAAAATCCATTCTAGAAACCTTCTTCTAATTCGTTTTTTTAATACAGTTCCATGTAGGTAATATTTGCCTCAATGTCTTGAATGGATGGATAAGTTGTAAATTAAATGTTTTATTAAATCGTCACATTGTAAATAACATGATATACTTTTCTACTACACCATATTATTAGGGACTAATGTTGACTGTAGTATACAGGTATTGGTGAGTCCTCCACGTCTTTAGTTTAGTACTTTCCTCAAAATCTATCTGTATTTTATCATAAAAAAAAATGATGAATGCATGGGAAAAATTTGGTGGAAATTGCTGTTTAAGTGTGCGATGGTGTTTTATAAAAGACACAAAATGTATATTTGGGTCATGATAACTGCATGCTCACAATTATGATACAAAAATAATACGTTAGAAGACTAAGGGAACGTTTGAAAAAAAAATGCTTAAGTAAAAAGCTTTGACAAAAGAGTTTAATATTTAAAAATCAGGACATTTCCTCCATCAGGGTTCAAATAATTCATAAATCACCCATGTTAATGTTATTACGATTTGTTGTATCGTTTGCAATAATGCCGCTGCTGGCACCACCACCCCCAACTCAAATCTATCAAATTTAAGTAGATGACTTAGGCTAATAATGTGAAGTGCAAACTAATCAAAAATAAACAGATATATTGTGAGATTTGCTATTTTAACTTCAGCTAATAGTTGGACTATGAAGGGCAAATGAGTGGATGTTTTGTTAGAGAATAAAGGAAAAGATTCCCAACTCTTAAAGCTGAAGCATATAACTTGTATAAAAAAATAAAATAAAAATGATTGTTTTTATATGTTTGCTGAAATTATCAGGTCATCACAGTAGAAGACAAATAATCAGAAAAAAATCCAGCTCCTCTGCTTTGCTCCTTTTATCAAGACTTTCAGGCAAATATCTTCTTTCTACATGTAAAGCCGTAAACTTATGCTTAAACATTTAACATGAACATTTTGGCCTGTGTGTGCTTGTATCTAGTGCTGCAATCCCCAATGTGTGGCACTGTTGCCCCGGCAGACTAACTGCTCCTCTGCAGAGAGTAAAATCCAAAGGCGTCGTCCGGAAAACAGTCGACTCCAACATGGGTGACTGATGATGAAGGAATTTCTGACAAAGCTGTTTATGTGGTGATGGATGATACTATGTCCAGCCTGACAAAATGCTCAAATCCAGAATGCAAATGCCATAAATTACTTTAGATTGCTTTAAGACTTAATCTTTCAAAGAGGTTTGGAGGGGAACTTTCCCCACCTATGCTACTGCTAAAACAGCAGCCTCCCAAAATCCATAATTATACTTTAGGACTTTTAGAAAACATACCTTTGGTCTTGTTTCTTTAGTTGGAAAGGCAAAAAAAAAAAAGAAAAAGAAAAAAAAAGGGTGAGAATAGCACTTTTCAAATGAAAACACATTTCATTTGAAGAGTAATAAATAAAAAATAAAAACCGTCGAAATAGGAATTGTAAAATGTTTGATGGACTCTTAAAGTGACAAACGTTTCCCTCAAATGCAGGCAGATTTTTTTAAATCACTTCATTTCAGCCCTACTTTCTATCACTGGGTTGGCAAACAAAACAAATCAGACTTCTTATGTCTTCCTCATTGTACCACCCTTCCACAAAGGCCAGGTTTGCTGCGAGCGCAACTAAAAGCCACCCGTCCTGTCAGATTCTCCCACCTGAGCTGTGGTTTCTGCAGCTCCTGAGGCTTCACAGTCATCACGCAGCTTCTTGGCTGCTTTAACGCTCTTTACTCGTCAGTTAAGATGGATGATGGGCTTGTCTTGGAAGTTTGCAGCTCTATCTTATGACTGCCGTCTTCAGATGATGGATCGAGCAGTGTTCTGTGAGATGTGCAAAGCCTGGGATATTATTTTAAAACCCTCACCAAAAGTCACCCTGCTGTGCGGCACGCCTGACAAATTCTGGGAGTGCGAGTGCTTCATGCTCCGTCGCTGACCTGTTGCAGAGCCTGGACATTAGAGCTGTTTTCAACTACTTCTATGAAGAGAAACTTGTCATACTACATAATTGAGTGCTCCATTTTAAATCACAGAGATTTATTATATTTAATCTTAGATTTAACAATCTAGAGTTGTTTATGCTGTTTTGGACTACTACAAAAAAAACCCAAAAAACACACAAGTAGAATAGAAGATAACATTTATGGTTAGCGGATGCCTTTGTGACTGCTAACGGCCACAACGATTTGTGTTGATCTCACTGCCAATAACAAATGTCACCATATTTCGGTGTTAAAAGCTACCATAAATGTAAATATCTTTATAAAGTAAATGTTACTTTGGGGGGAAAAAAAGGTGACAAAATCTTAAAACTGCTAAGAGTGAATAACGAGAATAGACTTCTTTAACGCTACTTTGAAATGAAAACGTCAAACGTTTGAGACAATTGGTGCTTAATGGGGAGATTAATCTACTAAAAAAAAAATCAAAAAAATCAACTCTGTTTTCATTGTTGAGTTAAATCATCACCCCGTTTTGAACTGAGCAACATAAAACTGAATAGGTCTTCTTTAAAAAAAAAAAAAAAAGGCGCTGAACAGAATCCTGGTTCATTAATGCCAGATAGACCCGCTCAGTCGTGTAGAGAAAATGAATCAATTGAGATGCAAAATGGAAGATTTGTCTCCTCATCAGTGCCACTCTGGACAGAATGTCCTCTGTCAATAGTCATGACTCGTCCACAACAAATGGACGTTTTCTTCAGTGCCTTTTGTGACAAATGAGAAGTTTAAATGCGTTTACAAACTACAGTTAGAACAAAACACAGCAGACCTGTGGTTTGTTCCAACTGTGCCACCTTGTGGTTATAAAGTATATATAGAGTGACAAAGAGACCAACATTTTGTCATCGTTTACATAAACCCATCATAGGCATTAATGTCAGATTCATCTTAGAGCTTTTTAATAATCTCTAGTACCAATGTCTTAGTTCACACTTCCATGGAGAAAAGATTAATCTAGAAATGACACTGATGCTGCCCTAAATGTTCGCATTATTTTAAATCATTACATTTCATAACTTGAGGACTTTGACAGCAATTTTGTATGAGAATAATCTTTTATGATGCGACTTGTTTACAGTTAGCAATTGCAAACAAGTTGTGTTAAGACTGGTTTACAGTTAGAACCTTTAGCATCTGTGAGCAGAACCTTGTCCCCAATATTGTATATTTTAACAAATCTATGAGTTTATATGGAAATACTTTGACGTTCCCTTTTATATGGTTGACATGCGGTTTCCAGGATTTTATACTTAAAACCCTAAAACACAGAAGTTTTGTTTTCTTGCACAAAACGTGACTTTTAGAAGTTTTTACAATAGCAAACTAAATTAGTCTCATCTGCAAATATATATTTAATTATATCTGTAGTAACACTAGAAAAGGTATTTGTATAATGCAAGAAATAATTCTGGACCAATAACCCCTCCTTGTGGCACGCCAAAGTAAGCCACAATAAATCATAACCCCTAAACCTCTTTACTTTGCACCCTCGTTTTGGACATTGCAAGCAACTTTCTAGCCATAAAAAGACTATAATTGTTTTTTTGGAGTTTAGAATTATAAAAGTTAAAAATGACATTCATGCTGATGAGTGCACGCAAACTTATGACCAGAACAGCATTTGCTGAAGGACACAAACCATTTAAAATATTACACATCATTCAAGGTATAAAATATTTTGCCGTGTTTGTACAAAACATAAAAAATGTGATAAATACATCAGTATCCTCCAAGAAAATAAAATATATGAATTTACACTTAGTACTATTTACAGGTCCTAGTGCATAATATTACAGCATACAGACAGAAAAAGCTGAGAAGTAAATTAGTGACGAGAGTAATACAGTTTGTATGAACGTATTTCAACATCTGTGATGTTTCCATTTGCGGGTTGCCAGTGCGATGCCTGTGTCTTTTTTGTGCCAGGGGAAGAAACGAACGAGAGCGAAGCTGCCGTCAGGCTGCACAGAACCGGTCAGCACGTAGAGCTGCGAGCGGCCCGGACGAACCAGGGCGCCGGCGCAGCTCAGGTTGATAAGGAGCCAATCCCGAAGGAGATGCTGAGTGTCGTAAGGCAACAGAGGGCCCTGGCGGATAAACTCCACATGGCCCTCGACCTGGAACTCCGGCTCCCCTGCGGGGTGGCGAAGGCGGTGGAGTTTAGCGGTGACGGCTGTGGAGGACAGAAGGACGTCAACATCTGGGGAAAAAACTGAGGATCTGATATAAAATCAACAAAGTGCATTTTGAGTTCTTTGACAGAATCTGGAATCCTACCAAAGTCATGATGACAAAAAGCACCGATTACTGTTTTCATTGCAGGAGCCACTTCCACAGAAGGACACTTCTGGCAAACAGCTTTTGGCAAGTCTGCCAATTCAAAAAGAAAGAAAAAAAAAGTATTTTTACTAATTGTTGACAGGAATAGGAGGCATTAGGAAGAGCATTAAAATGACAGATTGAAAATGTAATTTTATGCTCGTCACCTTTCATAAAGTGGCTGAATTTTGCAAGGGGGGTTAGACACATGTCTTCCTCAGCAGGAAAGCGGTCACAGTTGAGAGCCTCGGGCCACGGATGTCCCTGGCAGGCGAGCACTGGGGCACAGCTGTCCCTCACTGCCACACACAGACTACGACAAGGCTGGATGAAGCTGAGGGAGAGAGAGAAAAAATTATTTACTGCAATTACAAAAAAACTGAATTTTTTTGAAAAGCTAAAAAAACCCCAAAAACTTACGTGTCGAGACAGACGGGTGCAATGATGGAGCAGAGGAAGGCTTGGGCTTGAGGATGGCAGCCGGTCTGCAGCAGGGGCCTCCAGTCCTCAGAGCGTGGCACCACCTCTCCTTCAAGGCTGCTGTGGCCTAAAAAGTTTGGCAGCCTCATCTCAGAATATCCGACGTCTTTGCAGACTTTCATCTGGTTGGGGATGGTAACGCACCGAGTGGACTGGCCCAGGTCGAATGCCAGTAAAGGAGACGCAAACAGAGCTACAGCCAAGAGAGCAGCCATAAGGAAAAGCTGACAAAGTCCCGGGAGCACACAGGAGGACGAGAGGAGTCGCTTGCTTGCCCCTCTCATGAGCTTCTCCTCTTATATACAGCAAGGTGGGCCAGCTCAAATCAGCCAGCGAGTCTGTTATCAACTACCTATCAAAAGACATAGAGACGATGTGTTTGGAGACAACGGCTTGTTTTGTGATTACTGCAGACAGAAAGGAGGCAGCGAGCAGATGGAGGGTGTGTGAGACGGGGGAGGGCGACGATGGGCGATCACACCCCAGGTTTCACTGAGTGAAGAGCAGCCACAGCAATCCGCTTCACTGGCTTCGAAAGTTTGAAGAGGGCGACAAAAAAACAGAGCATAGCACTACTGAACCAACATGTGCTACACTCTGATTTATGCCCCTGGAGGCTTACATTTTTGGAATGAATCAGAAATTTTCAGAATTTCAAAAAAAAAAAAAAAAAAAAAAGTTTTTTTTAATGACTTTTTGGCTTCAAAATTACAGGGTTTCCAGTAGTCATTTACAACCCGAATCATTTGTCCAACTAGCTGTACATTTAAAATAAAATATGTTTTTGTTACAGACTCAATGGCCGTTATGGATGCTAAGTTTTATGCCTAGGCCCGGTGAAATAAGAAGGCCTCATTATATACAGTGAGGCATTGCTTACAATTTTAAAGACTCAAGTCATTTGAGTATGTCAAGACCACAAACCTATAATGTACTTAAATTGAATTTTGTGCGACAGACTAACACAGGGGCCTCTCACTTTAACCTACGACAGGATCCTGAGGAATAACATAGCCTAGCAGCTTCCCTGCTAAAAAAAATTAATGTGATCGGAGTGATGTGCAGTGCTGTCAAAAATAGCTCAGTTTTGGTCTCATATGACCAGATCACACATGGTTGAGGTGGCTTGAGCCCAAACTGTGAGATTATCCCGCCTCTGCAGCTCCTTCAGTTACTAAAGGACTTTTAGCTGACTGGTTCTCTCAGCTTTGGGGGACAGCCATGAATAGGTTTGGAGTTGTGGCATAGTACTCAACGGTAATTTTTGATTATAGATTGAACAGGGCTTTGTGAATTGTCTAGGATCTTGTTTTGCAACCTCCAATAGTTTCCATGACTCCATCCATGGCCTTTCTTGTGTTTCTTGGTCACTATGTTGCTGTTTTTCATTACTACTTTGTAAAAAGCTGTACTTATTACCCTGTGGTGAACTCTAATAAGGTGACTATATAATAAGCTGTTAAGCTGTCAGATGTGACTCAAAGTCTAAATGAAAAAAAAAAAAAAAAAAAAAAAAAAAAAAAATAAAAAAAACTAAAAAAAACACACTAATAAAAAGCAAAAACCCCAAATTGAAAACCCCC